GATTCGAAACACCATAGCGTTGGCCAAAATTTGTTCCTCACTAGTGGCACGTGCTCTTCGAGAAACGATCGGAATGGCCCGTTCGCACATACCAGCATAGGCGTCTGAAAGTCATTTAAACGGCTTGTTATATTTTCTTTTTCATCAATTTATTGGTCGCGATGAACGGTTTGATCAACGAATATTAAAGCTGAGCAGCTGTAGGGGATTGAAGATAATTTATAAGCAGTAAAAGAATCGAATATATTTACGATGATTTTTTTGTTGACTTGGCTACTTCGCGCATGAACGCGTAAAAATATTCCGCGATAATGCTGATTTATACTGATAAATATTATAACTTTCAAGAAAAGAATGCTCCTTACGTTCAGCATTATTTCGTTAGATTTCTCATTGTCTTTTTTCATTTCTACGATAGAAATATTTCACATAAAATAAAAATTCGTTTTATTGAAAACAGACGAGAGAATTCGGTCGAGAGACCATGTATCTCTATTGAGAAATGTATGTTGTAAGAAATTTTACAAACAATCGCGACTGATGCCGATTAATAAGTTCATAAATTAGAATTCATCTTTATTGGAACAGTTTCAATGAATCGTAATGATCAAACGTGTGAATATGTTCATAATTGATTGTTTAACAATAACATGTTCGTTTAATTGTAATATTCTGATTTGAATATTTATTTAACAAACGGTGTCACCTGTTCCGGTATTACACGCACCATGCAGTGTACCGCGCGCGCGCGCGCGCGCAATACACATACAATACACGTACAATTTACCCGGGGCAAGTGCCTCGGAGTTTTTAAGGTCGAATTAATAGATTGTACGTCTCCTCGTGGCGAGGAGACCACGAAGGGTCGTGTGAGAGTTCGAAGTATTCGTATCGCGGAAATCCTGATAATATATCGGCACGGATTAATAAACTGCGCGATAAGAAAAATTATATTGAACTTTAGATATCTTCCGATGAATCGGTTTTATCATATATTATCGCGTTTTATCATATATTATCGCGAAACGTTAAAACGTTGCAGTTTAAAAACGCTAATATATCATGTGTAAAATAATAATAAAAAGTACGTTGCAATCAGGTTTTTAAATAGCCATATCAAACAATGTAGATTCAGTATTTTTGTTCATAAATACAAGATTGAAAATGATTAGATTGTTGTAAGCAATAATTATGGTTAAAGGTTAGTGTATATTCCGATCATATGATTTTTCCTAATCACATGCCCGAGTAAAAGACACTTCACCATGAAAGTGTCAACGACATGCGATAGTGCGCTGAAAATGAATCCGAAGTTTTCAAATTGTGCTGGCAAAATTATTGCAATAGAACGAACGTTCTGATAGACGCGTGACGTTGGTCTAAATGCGGTGCTGATTGAATTTAATGAAGGTTAAAAGACTGCGGATAAATAACAAACCGCCATAGCGTATATAATACAATCTAAAATTGCTCATTTCAATTATACATCAATTTCTTCTCTAAACCGTACGTACATCAAAAACACTAAAAACTTTATTTAAAAATTTCCCTTTTTGTAAAGAGATTTATCTTGTAATCGTAAGAGAACTTACAAACGTACACATCTTCACTAAAAACAAAACTGGTACGTACATCGTTTGCGAAGTTTAAATCGTCGTGTTGCTTTTCTATGAAGTACGTCAATATATATTTCATGACTCATCAGTTTGTATATATCACGTTTGTTCATTGTTCTACTCGCCCGATGTATCGGTGATTAATAGCCGATGATAAATTTTACGTGAGGATAACAACAAAACGACGAGAGAAGCAAGATACTTTATTACTCACTTTAACAACTTCGAATAAGTAGTAGACGCAGAATCCAACGCCCAGCAGCGCCCCGTAGTAAGCCGTCGGTATGTCAAAAAGTGGTTCGAATAGATTCAACATTGTTGCACTGTTTTTTCGTGGTACGTGCAATAGATTGACGGTCACCGAAACCAAATGCTTCGACCGAGATCGTTGACAATCTTTGCACGCCGAATGCCGGTAGCGGACAACCGATCGCTAAGCATTAGGAGCGACTTGGTCGGCCACGCGCATGACGTTCGAATAATTGGACAGCCAACTAGCTTACTAGACGACCGGCCGGTACCACTAGTTGTACATTGACTATACTATACGGACACACAAATGTACACTTGAGATTCAGTCACGTGCGCGTCGGTGGATCCGCTCTCCACTCCCACACTTACAGGCTACTCGTCCACGGTCGTTCTATACGCGTATCTAGAAATGTAGAGTCATGTGTAACGTATATATGTATGATGTGTGTATGTATGTACGTATGTATGTATATAACGAAGAATTATGCAATACAATGATTTCAACTTATATATTCGGCACTGCCAGCGCAACTGATTCGCTTTGATCGTTTTACATGCGTTTAAACCGCGCTTGACGAGGTTAAGATACATTGTTACACCCCATGCATCGTTACGAAGTAATAATACACGATAAATGTTTACTTTTTTTATTTATCATATCATAATGGCCATTTTCATTCGTTGTAAAATGCGTGGTAGACAGATGCTTATTTATTTTTTACTGTACAATTTCAGTGTTATCTTGAAGCCTCGTATGCACGTAACGAACGTGACGCAGAATAAAATTTTCGCTCGCATGAGCGTTCGTAAGTACAGTCTACACGTCGCTTAATGTATGTCACACCGTTTATTTTCAATAAATCGCGCCTGTTTTACACAGGGTTATAATTTGGTAAAATCGTCCCCTACTTAAACTTCAATTTCAAACGTGTACTTCACCAGATCGTATTTCTTTCATAATAAATTAATTAAATATTAAAACCTGAAACCTTTTTTCTCCCCCTTTCAAAACTGTACAGTTTCTGCCTGTTAATTGTTCAGAAGTTGCACAAAATGTGCAGCGATAGCGAGTAATTAATGGAACTTAATAAATGTCATTAATTATACTTTGTTTTTATCAAAATATATATTTATTTAATTCCTCGTTAACTTAAAATGGAAAGATTATTTTATTTGTATAACTTATCTATATATTGTCTGTATAATTGTCTGTAATTTGCACTTATTTTAATGAATAAATCGATAAAATTCGTCTTCGAAGTCATCATAATGGAAATTTCTTTGACAAAGTTTTAAAATATTCAAAATTATACAGATAATATTATACAATGTGTAGAAGCTGATATGATAATTTTCATATTTCATCAAATCTTTAAAACAACGAATGAACACCAAAAGTCACGAGTAACATGATTTTTAATATGACACAATAAAATTTTCGAGAACATCGATTTTGAAAACTTGTCAGAAATATTTAGATTTTTTTCAGAATTAAGCCGAAGTGAGCAGCAAGATCTCTTTAACTTCATATTTGTAGCTTCACAGTCAGTTATCCAGATTTAAAAATGAGAACAAGGAACAATCACGTACCAAGAAAAATGACTTCTTTATTAAATACAGTCTTATACATTCCGTGAACATAGTGAAATCGCATCGGCATCTGAATTTACTCGTGTTTGCTTGAAGCGGCACAATTCTCTCGTAGATCGACATTCTGATTCTCTCATACATCAACATGTACATATTATTTTGTCTCGATTCGTATTAAACGAGCGAATAATTTTCCTTCGCCGGAAAAGTCATTTTGGTATGCAAACTGGAATTAAATCGTCAATACCCAATCTGGAGGGAAGGAATGAGAATCAACGTACTGTAGGAGTACTACCTCGTATATTTATACATGGACACCGCCAGAGAACACTTTTTGGTTGAAATAGCGTGTTAATACGGAAAACATAAATATATCGCGGAAGAGTGGAGGACGCGAACCATCAAAGTAGTTCAACTTCAAAAGGAGACGAATATCTCTCGGCGTGTGTCTTTTACCGAAAACTAGCAACGCTACTTGCGATAATTACAATCTAAAATAAATAAGTTTAACGATTTAACTTAACAGATATATATATATGAAGGACAACGGGAAATAAATTTTATAACATCGATTGATTCTCAACTAATGCAAAAGCAAAATAAAATTAATCTTGTTACTCTCGTTTCAATAGACAAAATTAATTAACTCGACTCCTGGATGATAAGTTAAGAAATTAAAAGTAATATCTTACGGATAGAAATTCTATTAAGAAATCTCGAACTGGACTTACAAAACACAACATTAAACGAAACAGTTCAATTTCAGATCCACCGTGGTTCTAGTCGAGGGTTCATAATTCCAGCGATTGAGTCTTTTTTTCTGAATGGAGCATATACCTGGCGACGTCCATACTTGCATTACATTATGTAACACGCGCTCGTATATAATAACACGAAAGTAACAGATATAAGTATATATATACGAGCATGCAAGGGTCTCGTAACTGTTAATCACTACGTGTTTACGTCGACCACGACTTCACATCGTTCATCAGCGTTTAGATAGAATCTACGTTCGGTTCCATACAGGTAATAGTAATCGGATCTCTCTGACTTCTTCATGGATTCCTATTGTTGATTCGGAACAGTTCGATCTTCTCCATTCACAAGTTTTTCAGTTCGATCTTTCGTTTTAGCTTTAGACAGTTGTCAATTCGGTTCAATATTATTCACGGACTCTCGCAAGGAAAAAAAAAAAAAGAAAAAGAGAGAGTAAAAATTGGTTCGATCGCTGAGCGAGATTAATTAAAAACACGGCACCATTGTCATGACAACGAACGGTCTTAGACTGGTTTTCGACCATTAATTCCCGGCACCAGTGTGAAAAAAAAGAAGCGTCGGTGAAACACAAAAGAGACTCGAAGCAAAAGGGTGATTGATAATTCGAGACCCTTCTATTGTTCTGACAATCGATAAATATTTTTTTTTTTCTTTGTTTTACCTTATCACCCCTCGTTACATTAATCATTCCGATTGACGCCAGACGAATTGCACCGACTATCGCGTCTCACCGTATATAAACATATTTCCCTCGAACAGGGGAGAGAATAGTTTGTCGAAGACGGTCATCGTTGCCACCTCGAAGAACGATCGATCACCATCTTCTATATGATCGTATGATTCCATGAAGATGATGACGCCCGTATGAAGTTGAATACCAGATTCTATTCAAACGAAAAAAACGTGTACGAAAATTTATCAACATCCTGATATCGTACTACGCGCACGCGTACTACCAACACATCTTAATCCTATTTAAATCGGCTACAAAAATAAAGTCATATGCCATGGAAGTAAAAGAGATGTTGTCGGTTCTCCTCGGGGTAGAATCTTGATAAATTACCTGACGATAGCACATCCTGTACATAGTTATACGCGCGCGCGCGCGTGTGTGTGTGTGTATGTATACCTCATTGATTCAAGATATGGTTTACAACTCGCTTCTCTGTCTGCCGTGTGTCTTGTCGTAATAGACATTCAGTATCGGATGTTGAAATTTGTTCGCTATATATCATAAACTACGACCGCAGGTCGACTCGCGGACGTATTTCGCCCAGGTACGAGTCGGGGTCAGGTCACCTTTTCTAGCACGTCGTTGATCCACGATCAGGCTGGTACGTGCCTGTTCCACGATCTTGCGGTAAGTCTCATCGTCGTACGTACAGGACAGACTCTTCCTCAGTTTCGCCGCGCCAGTTTCGAAATTCGCTGGCTGGCTACCCACCAGCACGTGCAGATCATTCTTCACCTGTATCGCCCAGTCCCACATGTCCGTGATGAAGCAATTGCACACGAATGGATTACTCAGCAAATTGAGCGACAACAGGCGTGGATTCGACTTGAATATTCGCGGTACAATGGTGGTCAGGTTGTTGTTGCTGAGATCCAAATGCTCGAGCATGCGTAGCTTTTTCAGACAGGCCAGATCCTCCGTGTCGGAAATACTGTTACCAGACAGGTTCAATTGAGTCAGGTTTCTAGTTCTGGAAAACAGATTTTCG